ATGAATGCTAAATATTTAGCATAGGATGTTTAGAGTTTACTTTTAAATATTTCAGCATAAGATGTGCATTTACAAAATTTGCATAGGGTATGATAACATTAACATGGAGACTACAAAAAGGATCAGCCATTTTCTAGAGCAATTTACTATTTCCTAAAAAAATTCAGATAAAATTCAAAAAGATAAAAATAGTGAGAAAAGAAATGATATTTTAGGAGTGGAGAACTGAGATTTAATCCAAGATTTAAAAAAAAAAAGGGAAATATATGAGTCTGATGCAAATTGTACTGAAATTGAAATAAGAGAACTTCATTTGAAAATCTAAATTGTTCTCTGATTTTTGCACATAATTATTGAAGGATAAATAATCTATGAATTATCATAACCTGGAATATTTCTATTTCAAAAAATAAACATTGATCAATCAATTTTAAATAGCAATCAACATACATTGAGGAATTGCTCTCCAGAACAATACCCAAAGTTTACTTGTATAATTTAACTTCACATTACGGGATGAAGCAGAAACTATAAGCTTCTTTGCAGATGTGGACATTCACATTCAAACAAATGAAGTAAAACTATAACATGTCAAGTTCACAGTTTTAAGTGGTAGACCCAAGTCTTAATCCAAATCTCTCAAAATTTAAAACCTTGACTCATATCAAGTTGACTCTGCCACTGTTCTTCTGGGTGATCTACATTTTCTCTCTTCAAAGAGAAACTCTGCCATAAGGCAATGAGAGAAGTAATTTCTGGTCTAATTGTATGACATTAATTCATTCAACGAATACTAGTGAGTGATAAATACCGCCAAGGACAGTGTAAGCTTCTGAGGATATAGAGAATTTAGTCATATAAAAAAGGCTGGATACAGAAAATTTAGTCATATAAAAAAGGCTGGATAGGAGAAAATTATATATAACATATTTTCTCCATTCTAACAAAACCACGATAGACCCAGGTGTAAGAAAATCTCAGCAGAAAAAAAAAGCTATGAAATACTGAGGAATAAGTATAGCAAGCAAAACAGAAGACCTATGTATGTAAATAAAATTATATTTAATGACAAAACTCAATCTAGATATGAAAAATTCTATACTGTGTACTTAGCTGAGAATTTATTATCACAAAAAAACTGACTCTTCCCCAAACTGAAATATAAAGTACAATTGCAATTAAATTACTGAATATCAACCTTTTAAAAAAAGATTTATTTTGTATTTATTTATGCATAGAAGAACTGAGGTATAGGCCAGAAGTGTGGGGGGTGAGAGGATTCACCAGAGACAGAGTGGGGAACAGAACAGGCAGATCTACTGAAATACACTGCTGAAGAGAGCAGCGGGTGAGACAGAAGAGGTCTGCTATGCCATATGAGTTAGTAAAGTGGTCCAGGATAGAACTCATACTCACTGGCTGGGGGTAGTTTGAGGGCACTGAGACTTTAACATATGCGCCACCAGGGAGGCCTTGAATCTCAACTTTTAAGCCAATTGTCTCAGAGTTCTTTCTAGACATATCCATTAAAAAAAATCAGACTGACACCCCAGTTACTCTCCACCATGTTGTCATGTTTATAACTTGCATGGCATCCTATACTTGCTAAGATTATCTTGTATGTATTCACTTTTCCAGTTTTTTTTTCTCTATGAGTAAGTTCTCTATCTGAATTGTTCACCATGTTATCTTCATAGAAACTCAATTTATACTTGTAACCTGTTATAGGAGAGGGCATAGGAAGCCACTGGAAAACACTGAATGTCTCTTTATTGAGCTTATTGGTCAGGGATACCTATCACAGGAAGTGACATCACTGTTGAGACAAAAGGAAACATGGATTCCTCAGAGCCTGAGAGAGGCACAGAGTTGCTGGAGGGGAAAGATGGGAGGGGACGGGTATGTGTGCATGATTAGAAAGAGGAGAAAAACCATACATCACTAAAACCAAATTTTGAAGATTATTTAATAATATAGGATAAGGTATAAAACAGAATATTAACTACAGGTACAAAAATGAAAAATGATGTAAAAATTATATAAAATAAAATTTAAAATAAAATTTAAAAAATAACACTCAATAGTTAACAAAAACCTTAAAAAACACATCTGGACAATGTCAAGAAGTATGCAGATTATATATTATCATCACAGGTAAGATGGGGTCCAATTCAAAAAAAGTGATGCTCTGTTTGGGGGGAACTCCTCATCACTCTCAGTCCCTCTGCAGTGGAAGATGGGATCCTCAAGATGCCAAAAGGAAGGATGAACTGGGCGCCCTTCACAGCACTTTCAATGCTCTTTGAGGAATTAGAGGTCATAGTCATGGAGGGACAAACTCATATAGTGGAGTGGACTGTTGGGGGCTCAGTCTTACTGAGTCTGCACAGAGATGGAGCAGGAGACAGGAGAGCATGGGGGGGTTGTTCTTTGTGCTGTCAGCCACATGTCTCCACAAGTGACAGAGAGGTGCACAGACAGGGGAGGAGGATGAACAGTGCTTTGAGATGCCTGAAGGAGCCTGGTTCACAGGGGCTATACAGAAACACCGGGGTTCACAGATCTCTGGGGGCAGTGTCACCTCTGCTGATGAGGGCAGGTCCCAACATCCCGGCTCTGCAAGAACTGGGAATACAGGCTCAGAAGACAGTCACTAAAAGTAAGAACATTTTCTGAAAAGTATGTTCCTGGCAGAGTTTCCATGATAAGGAGGGAAAGATGTTGGAGGTGTGAACAGAAAGGAACCTGCATTCAGTGAATTCTTCTAGGGACCCTGACCTAGGAACTTCAAAATCCCCTCCAGAGAAAAGTAGAAGTAGACATTGCTGTCTTCCAGTGGCAAATGTGGAAAGGGAGGCTCAAGAGGTTGAGTGGATCACGCCAAGGTCAGACACTGGTATCAGCAGGAGTTGGATCTGCACTTCACTCTTGTGACTCCTAATGTCAGATACTGACATCTTGTGCTTGCTGGAGAGACTGGCAAAGCTAACATGGGGTGTCAAATAGCTTTCTATTAGACAGCTGGCTGTCCATTCTCCTGGTAGTCTCCAGCTGATGACTCCACCAGTCCAGTCTCCTGAATTCCTCCCATCAGTACCTGCTTGATAATGAACAGTCTCCCACTGACTTGCCCCAATCACAACCACCGTCAACCTGACATTCTGCCTGTTTTCTTAGCACCAAAGTGATAATTTCCAGCTACTTCAACACACAGTCCCTCAACTCCCCCATTCCTGTCTCTAGATGTTTTCAATTGTACCTGCTGCCTAAAACACTGTCTGTACCTCCACCTCCCACCTCCATCTTTCATTAAGTCTTGCTAAACCCAAAGGTCTCACCACAAATATTCCTAAGGGGACTTTGCAAACTTTCTACATCATTTCAGGTGTTCTGATGTTAATGGTAACACCTCGTTTTACACACCACATGCTAGAGAATACTCACTTCATGAAGTCCAGTTTCCCACCTGAAAGAAAGAGCTTAACACAAAAGGTTGTTCAATAAACATATGGTGACTAAGTGATAAAGGGCATCAATACTGGAAAATACATAATTGAGCTACTCTATTTTACCTTCAGAATACAGAGACCCATAAATATGAGAGGAACAGAAAGGAAAGCTCATGAATTTGTGGATGTGTAGAGGAGGGATATTTTTCACTGATCCTATGAATTGTCCTGAACCTTTTAAGTCTGAAAGTGGTAAAATCACGTTGTTTTATAGAAAGTTTGTAGGCATACCTGTTGCAGAATAAAAGACCAGTCGGACAGTTTCCATTTCCACCCAAATTGAGACTACTTAATGCCAAGGATCAGTCCCATAGCATAGTATCTCTCAGTCCAAACACAGACTCTCTAAGTTAATGTGCCCAGATTTTTAAGCTCCACCATGGGGGACAGAATATGAAATCCACAGCCATTCCCAAATATTCACCCTGGGATTTTTCTGTGTGTGAAAAGAAACACTTTCTCACCAGTCCAGTCCCTTTCCTCTCCCCTTCCCAGTCCCGTGGGCTGGCTCTGGTCCTTTCTGTTCTCCTCGATTATGAAGCCTTCCTATGTCCATCTCCTGTCTCCTCCAACACCTTTTTTCTGTGCCCCTTATTTTCCGTCATATCTTGACTGCATTAGGGCATGCTTGGTCTGTGTTTGCGGTGCCCAAAGGGTCTGCACTGGAGCTTGTGTCCCATCCCAGCTGAGGAGCTTACCTTCTTACTTCTATCAGGCTCAGTCACGACCACCAAAGACCTACTGCTTCTTATTCCATCCTCTACATCATGAAATTAACATGAAAATTGCTGAGGGCTCAGAGGCTGTCCCACCATGAGCAATGAACATAACAGCCTCATGTACAGGCTGCCTGCCTCTGCTCCAGCAAGTTTTCTGAATCCCAAAAGCAGCAGCACTGCAGAGAAGGTGGTTCCTTGTCATTAACATCAGAAATGCCTCAGGTGTTCTCAGCTCTGTGCTATAAGGGAACTTGTGCTATTCATTTATTTCCCAAGTAACCTCAGTATAAGTCGCTCAGCGGTCCTGTGGGAGACTGAAGCTCAGTAATTGCCCCATGCCCTATAAATTCCCTCAGGAGCAGTTTCTGGGAATGAAGAGGATGTGGTCCAGCAGTAATGGGATCTTTCTCTAAGAATCTTATTAATTTTCTATGTCTTAGGCTGAACTAGATGGTCACCGCCTCCATCCAAAAAGTATCCCCTTTGATCACCAATATCTGAAATGACATTCTATAAGCCACCAAAGATTGCTGCAGAAATTAGTATTTCTTATGAGGAGGAGACAGTAGAAAATGTATGAATCCAAGGGCATTCCTTGTCCAAATTGCATTTTTTCTATGAAGATCACTATAAGCATGGGGGTGGGGGAAGAAAGGGAACATAGTGGGACACAATGGTATCTGGGCTACAATCAGCAGACCTTGAGGACTAAAGTACACTGGGGCTGTGGGCTCCAGAAAATATCAGACTCTGAACAAGCTTGTTGTTCTACCTTAGATCCTGGATGAAAGTGGCTCCTGGGTCACCAGCAGCTGCCTTCCCTAGAGGGAGTGTCCAGCAGTGGTCCTTGAAGTGCAGCTGCTGCTGCCATGTGATCAGAGCTGAGATCCAACACAGACCCACTTCACTAGCATGTCTGCAGCCATGCTGCACGTGCATTCTGCTCTTCCATCAGGAAAATACTGTGAAATAAAAAGTCATAGAAAATACACAAAGTGTTAAAACTGTCACAGATATCATTATATTCCTTACTTTTTGCATTAATACTGTAATTTTTACAATCCATTCTCTTTGCATTGTGGACATGCAATTCCCTGCTTCTCTTATCTCTGCTACCAATTCTCTACACACAAGCAGAGAAATTTTCTTAAGGTCATTATTGAACACTGTCACAATCCTGTTTAATAATTTCAACAATAGTTTATTACACTAAAAAAGCAGCTTTATCCTTATCTTGTCTCCCTGTTGCATATTTATACATCCTCAACCATTATCATCCTCATTCTTTTTAATCCCATATCTTCAGCCATATTATCTATCTTTCAGTTCTTTGAAATTCCAAAGAAATACCTTTCAGACAAAGATAAAAGACCTTACACCTCAGGTCTTTTGTTTTGTTTTTGTTTTTTATTTTTTCCATTCCTGGAAGCTTTTTCCTTGGCTCTATAAATGCTTTTCTTTTTTAGAATTACAGCACTGCCTCAACTGTACAAACTGGTTAAACCATTTTGGAGAGTCTTTGGCAATATTAGTTATCTTTAGTGAGGAGCCCTAGAAGCACAGACACTCATGGTAATTATGAAGGTAGCTTATGAAGGCTCTCAGAAGATGCAGATAAGCAGGGATATGGACTCAGCACATTCATGTTAGCACGGCCTTGAGAAGATTGCGGGATCAAGAATTGCACCCATTGAGTCAGTCCCATCTCGAGGTAAGGTACAGCTTTGTCCACCTATGTCTGTCAGTAGTTTACCACTGACCACCCTCTTGCCTCCCAGGGCTGTGAGGGAGGGTGCTTAAGGACTTGTCCAGGGAAAGGTAATGCTGAGCCATTAACAACCAACATACTCAACATCTGTGGGGATGTGTAAGCTACCACTGAAAGGCACCATTATTTAGGTAATAACGAGAGAGGAAAAAAAATACAGTAGTAAGGTGTATTAATAATAATAATTCACCAGAGACAGAATCGAGAACAGAAAAGGCAGATTTATTGAAATGCACTGATAAGAGGAGCACCAGGAGAGGTTTCCTGCACAGAGAGTGAGGGGTTTGAGGTTCTGTTTATACTCCAGGTATCATTGACTGGTTCGGGTGACTGATCTTGAGCGTGTCCTGACTCATGATCTGGCTCAGCAGCATAATGGGTCAGTTTCCATGGCAGTCCCATCCACTCCCTTTGTCCATTCAAGCGTCCCAAACTTGCTTGCTGGGCTAGGAAAGAGACTTTAGTTTTGTTTTTCGTTTTTTTTTAAGGTTATTTTTTTAAGAAGTGGGGTGCAGGCCAGAGTCTGGGGTGGGGTCAGAAGATTCACCAGAGAGAGCGGGGAGCAGAACAGGCAGATGTACCGAAACACACTGCTGAGGGGAGCAGCCAGCGGCACAAGAGAGGTCTGCTGCTCCATGTTGAACTTACACCACAAAGGCTGGGGACAGCCTCACAAGTCTGCAATCAACCCCCTGTGCCACCAGGGAGGCCCCAGGGCTTTAGTTTTTAAATTTAGTAATGATACCATGACATTATAGCCCTTATGGAAAACAGCAGGGAGGTTCCTCAAAGAATTAAAAATAGATCCAACAATTCTACTTCTGGGTATCTACCCAAGGGACATGAAAATACTAATTCAAAAACATGCCTGCCAAAGTTCATGCAGCACTATTTGTGACATTCAAGGCATGGAAACAGGCTAAATAATCATCAACAGATGACTGGATAAAGAAGATTTATATACATGATGTGTGTTATATACATAATGGAATACTATTCAGCTATTAAAAATGAAATCTTACCATTTGTAACAACATAGATGGAAACTGAGGTGATTATGCTAAGCAAATTCAGTCAGAGAGAGACAAATACTAATGTGTAGAATATAAAGAATTCTTTTTTTAAAAAAAAGATTTATTTATTTATTTATTTATTTATACAAGCACTGGGTACAGTCAGAAGTGCGGGAGGGTGAGAGAATTCACCAGAGTCAGAGCGGGGAGCAGAGCAGGCAGAAGGACTGAAGCACACTGCTGAGGGGAGTAGCGGGCGGGAGGAGAGGTCTGCGCGCCATGTGGGACCCTCCTCCGGTGGCCGGGGAGCAGCCGGGGATCGAACCGGTGCTGCAGAGGCCGCAGGCAGCTTCGCAACCCAGCGCTCAACTGCTGTGCCACTGGGGAGGCCCTAAAGAAACATATTCTAACATGTAGAATATAAAGAAACAAACAAATACAACAAAATGACTAGGCCTTACAACAAAAATGGTGGTTACCAGAGGGGAAAGGAAGGAGGGTGGGAGAAATGGAGAGAAAGGAGTCAATGATAGTGGTGCATGGTACTAGAGCTTTTGTGGTGGAAGTAGTGTGATATATATACATTTATTGAGGTGTTTTGTTGAGGCTATTTAAGTTATGCCACTGAAACTTATAAAGTATGGTAAACCAATGGTATGTCATTAAAACAAACCAACATTCTCCCATAATCAAGGGTGCGAGCTTTCATAACATTTCACTCTCCCCTCCCCTGGGACCCTGGCTACAAAAGGAACCGCCCTCCATGTCTTACACCCCAGTCCACATCCTTCAGGCTTTTCTCTTCACACACTTCCTTTCAATAAAATATGTCTCCCCTCTGGATCTGCTCTGTGCAGTCTGTGTTGGTCTCTGAGGCCCAAAGAGGACTCTAGGTTCACCCCAACCTCTGCACTCTGGGTGTATCGTCTCTCTAACTGTTATTGTTCCTCTTGGATTGAAGCAAAGAAGCTCCTTTGTTGCCATCTGGGTGACATCTCAATTTGGGGCACTTCCTCTTTCATAATTGCCAAACCATTGTCATTTTCCACACAAATTTCCACTTAGGTGGGAAGCTCAGCTACCAAAACTTCACTTCACAGAAAAGTAGATTCATCTAAATTGGTTGATTGTAGCTTCCTGGGTAACAATCCATAGGTTTTCCTCACAAAGCTCTTCAGTGAGTTTGTTTCATGCCCTCACCCGAGACAATCAATTTACATTCATTTTCAGCCTTGGTATGGAATTGTGAATTTTATACTGTATAAATAAAAATCATAAGTCCAAATTATCTTTATAAAATGCATTTATTGAGGTAAGATCAATTTATGAATTTGTAGTAGCTTCAGATGTACATGATTATAATTCTACTTATGTACACACTACCTCATGACCACCATCTAAAGTCTACTTTCCATAGATCACCATGCAACTGACTCTCTTCACCCCATTTACCTGTCACCTCCATATTCATCTGGTAGCAACATATATGTCCTCTATCTAAGAATTTGTTTCTCTTTTGTTTTGTTTGATCTTTTGCTTTCTCTGTTTTCTACAAATGAGGACATATATTCTCCATCTGACTTAGTTCACTTAGCATAAGATCTTCATATTGTGACAAATGGAAAATTTTCATTTTATTATAACCAAAGACTATTTCATGTGTGTGTGTATGTGTGTCTGTATCACATATTTTGTACTCATTCACCCATCAATGGAGTTTGAAGTTGTTCCCATATCTTCACTGTTACAAATAAATATAACTTAAGTAGGTTTTAATCTTTACTGAAGCAAGATTCATTCATTCAACCCAAAGAAGTTTGAGAAGACATATCCTTTACTACAAATGTGACAATTAGCATTCGCAATCAGTCATGAGTTAGGCAGATAAGAAAGAAGACACTTTTTTACCATAATATGCAATTTAAATTGATATATCTTTTCATTATTTATTTATTTATTGAAAATAAACATGCCTGTATTGTTGAAAGCCTTCTTTTAATGTTTGCAAAGATTTTTGAATGATAACATTGAGACTTTAACTCTTTACATAACTTCCTATTATTATAGGAAAAATATACTTTCTACTTATAGTTGTAAACTATTTGCCATCCAATATTGAACTTTCTTGCTAACCATATGATCATTAATACATTTTCCATGACCTTATTGATTGAGTTTTAAAAGTAACATAAAAGGCTACAGAGACTTTAAGATTTTAAATAAGGCAAAAGACATTTCTCCTTGTGAAGTTATTTCAAGTAAAATAAAACTAAAGTAATATAAAATAAGAAAATAAATAAGCAAATCTGTTAGGACAGATTACTTTAAAGTTAATAAGCAATTCTTAACATATTATCAAAATGTAAGTCTTGATGTCCTCAAAAATAACCAACTCATATTGGGGAATTGAAGATGAGGGTGGCACACAGCACAAGTGGAATTCAGAAATGAGACACTTGAGAAAAAAGTTTCTCTAAAGTTTCTCACTGATGGCACAGAACACACCCGTAGTTTTTCTGCAGAAGTTACTGCCCCCTCAAGAAGGAGACTTTTCCCCTGAAAAGAACCCCCAGAGCTCCCTTCATGTCCTTGTTCCGCAGGCTGTAAATGAAGGGGTTCAGCAGGGGAGTCACCACTGTGTACATCACAGCAGCTGCTGTATTCTTTTCCACTGAGTTGGAGGAAGGGGGTGAGGGGCACAGATAAGCCCTGATCACTGTTCCAAAGAACAGGGCAACAACAGCAAGATGAGACCCACAGGTAGAGAAGGCCTTGCGCCTCCCCTGGGCAGAGGGGAGCCTGAGAATGGCTGTAACAATGCGGATATAAGAGATCAGGATGAGTGTAAAGGGGACTAAAATGCATGTTCCCCCAAGCAAGAGGAGTGAAAGGTCATTGACCTTAGTGTCAGAGCAAGCCAACTTTATCAAGGGTTGTAGATCACAGTAGAAGTCAGGAATAATTCTGTTAGAGCAGAAGGAAAGTTGAAGTGTGAGTATGGTCTGGATCAAAGAGGTAATATTTGTAAGGGTCCAGCAGACAGTGATCAGGAAGATGCAGCGGAGGGGGCTCATAATCATCGTGTAGTGGAGAGGTTGGCAGATGGCCACATAGCGGTCATAGGCCATTGTGGCCAAGAGAAAGCTGTCCATGTCCCCAAAAGTCAAGAAGAAGTAGAGCTGGGTCAGGCATCCCCCATAGGAAATAGATTTGCTCTGGGTCTGGATGTTCACGAGGGCCTTTGGCACAGTGGTGGAGACGAAAAGGATGTCTGCACTGGACAGGCTGGCAAGGAAGAAGTACATGGGCATGTGGAGACGTGTGTCAGTAGCAATGGCCAGGATGATGAGCAGGTTGCCAGTCACAGTGACCAAGTACATGCACAGGAATACCAGGAAGAGGGCACCTTGCTGCTCTGGCCTCTCTGAGAGTCCCCAGAGGAGGAACTCAAAACTGCTGGTCTGGTTCCCTTGTGCCATGACTTTGAAGTCACAGAAAGAGACCTTGATTGAGAATCTTTAAAATATGCTAAACATATTTCTCTAAATGGTTGATAAATGTGCCATTTTCTTAAATCTGGAGAAGACAGAAGGATGTTATGCATTTCTGTTACTCAAACCATATATACAGTGTATTTATAAAAATAAAATAAATAATACAATGTACTAGGAAATGTGGGAAGCACAATTTAAAAGAATTTAAATAGTCTTTTTATTTCTCCATACTTTCTTTCCCAAATTTCTTAGGTTTCTGTTAGTTCAGTTGTACTTTTAGGGGAGTTATAAAGTTCTCATTCATTCATTTCTCAGATACTAAGAACCAACTCTGGAGCTGATACTGTCATAGGTAAACAATACAATAACATTCTTAACCTTAAGAATTTTCAATTTAATAATTGGTTATATTAAACTCTGGTAAAATTTGAATCAGGCTCTTAATCAAAGCTAATAATAAAGTGGATAGCCGACTCTCTGATCCCAATTCATGGGGGCAATCAAGATTCAGCAAGCAGATGGTCTGATCCTGTGAAGAGACTGCTTTTGATTAAACTGCTCTTTCTGTGGTAAAAATTTGAAAACTGTTTCCTTCAGACAAACTAGTAACTTCAAAGGATGTCAACTCCAAGATTTATGACATTGCTAGCACTCTCAGTTTGTCAGACCATTATGCTCTAAATATGGGAAAATTTACAAGTCTTTTTGTTTTCCTCAAAGCATAGACAACATCAGATAGATGTATTTACTAAATCCCTACCCAGATTTTCTTTGTAGAAATCCTTGAAATGTTTCGTGTAACCACCTTGCACACTATGTATAATGCTTGTTGAAAAGCTCAGAACTCACGCAGCTTTCCTAGTGGTAACTGGAGGTTGTTTCTGGAAGTTGTTCCTGGGCTCAAGTTCTCTGTCTTATTCTTTAATTAACTCACTTACTTTCATTTCCTTCAGTTTATTTAAACTGACAAGGGTTCTCTACCTGATGCTGTCTCAGGTGCCATGCTTTACCTGTTCTGATGTATATGGCTTTCAGACATAGTTTCATATTATCCATTCTGCCAGAAACCAGTTATAAAGCAGTTATTTTGGAAAGATATATTGAGATCATTCTTTAAACAATGAAGAATGAAACAAAGAATTGGTTCCTTGAAAAGATTAGCAAAACTGACAGACTTATTGTAAGACTCACAAAGAAAAAAAGACTCACAAAGAAAAAAGACTCACAAAGAAATAATTAAAAACAAGAGACACTTGCAGGCCATGTGTAGGGTGAGGGTGCTAGGTGCCAGAACCTAGAGCCACCTCTTCCAGGATACAGGGCGCCCCTTCTCCTGTCATGTGTCGCACATGTTTGTGAGATGCCTGGTGCTAAACTATTCTTAGATGATCTGCTTATGGGGTTTCACATGTAGCAGAGCAGCTTCCTTGCTACATTTTATTGAAAGTCAGCCCTCCACACAAGCATTTGCAAGAAAGAAAAAAAGAAAACAAAGGTTAAAAAAAAAGTATAGAAGGTAGGACAGAAGAGAAATACATGACCACGATAGAGTACTATGAAAACATATATGCTGACAAATTAGATAATCTAGAAGAAATGAACAATTCTTAGAATCATGCATTCCTGAAATAGAAAATCTGAATAGACCAAACTTGAGTAAAGAAGTTATAGAAACAATAATCCAAAGTCTCTTCCCAAATAAAAAGCCCAGGACCAAATAGCTTCATTAATGAATTCTACCAGTTTGTCAGAGAACAGCTTATACCTATTCTTATCAAAATTTTCAAAAATTGAAGATAAGGAACATTTCTAGCCATGTTTTCTGAGTCCAGTATTACCTTAAAACCAAAGTCAGAAAAGGACATAATGAAAAAAGAAAACTATAGACCAATATCTCTGATGAACATATTCAAATATCCTCAACAAAATACTAGCACACTAAATTCAATAATATATTTAAATTATCATACACCATGATCTTTAGGATTTATTAGAGAGATGAAAGGATGGCTTAACATATTCAAACCCACTAATGTAATACAAAGGACAAAATTTAATTCATCATCTCAATAGATGCAAAAAAAAATTAACATGATTCAACATCTATTTATGATCTTAAAAATCGCACTATAAAATGGGTATAGAAGGAATGTGCATCAACACAATAAAGATTGCATCTGACAAATCTATAATTGGCATCCTATTCAAAGGTTAACAACTGTAAAGTTTTCCTTAAGACCAGGAATAAGGAAAAAAATGTCCATTATAACCACTGGTACTGAACATAATATTGGATGTCCCAGTCAGAGCAAGAAAAAGAAATAAAAGGTATCCAAATGATAAGGTAAGAAATAAAGATATTGGTACATAAAGTGGAAGGATCAACATGGCAGTGGGGAACTGCTATATGTCCTCCCATTAAAAAAAAAATTATAGGGAGGAAAAGTGACAGATCCCTGCCTGAGAGAACCTGGACACAGAAGATAAAAAGGTGACTCTGTCAAACTGCCTAAAGAGGAAAGCTGAGAGGAAAGGTCAGAACCCTGCTACCCTCCCCCACCCACAAAGTCGGCACACTCCAACCAACAAATAGGAGGGAGAAAAACTAACAACAAGAATGAAGAAAATATTGTTTAAAAGAATAATAATAATAAAAAAGAATAATAGAAGGTGGATCAACATGGTGGCAAGGAAACGCTACAAGTAAGACCTCTCATAAAAAAATAAAGTCAATAGGGAGGAAAAGCGGCAGTTCCCTGCGAGAAATGGGACACGAAGATAAACGGGTGACTCTGGCAAACTGCCCAAAGAAGAAAGTAGCCATAAAAGAGGACTAGAAGGGAGGAAAGCTCAGAACCCTACTACCCTTCCCCACCCACAAAGTTGGCACTATCTGACCAACAGAAAGGAGGGAAAAAAAAAAAACTAAAACAGCCAACAAGAACAAACTATGCATTAAGCAGGACTGTGAGTAGAAAGGAACTATTTCAGCCACCACACCCTGTGAACTGGAACTGTGGAGAACCATGCAGGAAACGCCACAGAGGTGAGAGAACGAATGGCTCCAGGTGCCATTAGAGAAAAACAAAGGCTCCCAGGAGACCTACAAATAGCCCAAGGCCAGCCAGTAAGCTTGTGCGGAAAAGCGGCGCACTTGGAAACATACGGGGATCTCGGCTGCCCAGGACCCTGCGCCTGGGACCTAGGCTTGCAGGGAGACTCGTGGGAGTCCTCATTGAGGTGAATGTCCCTCACTGAGTAATCAGAAACCAGGCGCCTGGACACAGGAGCGGAGTGCAAAAGGCGCCATTTCTGCGGACACTGAACTGGGCTACAGCCCGCATTCTGGACCTGGGGACTTTGGAACTGAGACCCAGGGCATGAAATTCGGGGCGTGGGATCCCCACGACAGTGGGGCACATAGCAGACACAGCACCCCCATGCCGTTGAGGCGCTCCACACCAATCCCACTCTGTTCCCCTGGACCGACAGGGTAAAAAAACAGTTCCCAAAGGACACTAGGAAAGATCTCTGGCGCCACCTAGTGACCAGAAAAAAATCACCAACACCCTATAGTTGGAAACCGGGGATCCCAAAACACCCTCAGGCACTGAGAGAGGGTGGGTCATGCAAACGAGGGTAAGGGGGAAAATGAGGCGTGGAGCAAGACCCCATCCTGGAACTGAGAGCCAGTTTCAGGATCCTGGGTGTGGGATGCACCATAATAGTGGACACTCCACAGGGTGACAGCCAGCGTTTTGGATCTGATAGCCCTGGAACTGAGACTTAGAGTGCAGAATTCAGGGCACAGGATCCATACAACTGCGGGCACAGCACCGAGTGAACACCGGGCAGACATAGCACCCGGCTTGAACAAGACCCCCTGTGTTGAGGTGCTTCCCTGCCCGCCTCTGTTTCTCAGAGAACTACTGGGAAAAAGCACAGATCAGCAAGTACAGGTCTCTAGGGCCTCCCAGTGACCAGAACAAAATCACCAACTAGCTGATTCCCTGCTGGAACTGAGTATATACAGAGGGAGGGAACTGTAAGGAACAGTGCCCAGCAACACAGCATCAACACCCAGGTGGAGTTTCAGCATACAGTGCTAGACTCGGTCTGGTAAGCAGTTTCTGACATCACTGAAGGAGTACCCCAAAGAGATGCTCACCAGTGGTACAACTTCCCAATGCATAGAACTAATTAGAAAGCAAACAGCAGGGAGAAGGAAAGATATAAATAACCAAGAAAGCCTGCAGGAGGAAGACACCACAAAAAGAAAAAGTCACCAGAGCTCAACAATGACATGGAAGAACTTCTTGGCCTGTCAAATAGAGAATTAATGATCATCATGATTAAAAAGCAGAAAGAAAACAAAAAGGAAAAAAATGACTTGAGACAAATAATCACAGAACTGAAAAAACGAAATTGAGACCTCAAGAAAGGAAAGAAGGGCCTCCCCTGGTGGTGCAGCAGTTGAGCACTGGGCTGCTAGGTTGCCTGTAGCCTCTACAGTGCTGGTTCGATCCCCAGCCACCAGTGAGGGTCCCACATGGTGCACAGACCTCTCCTACCGTGCTTGCTGCTCCACTCAGCAGTGTGTTTCATCGGTCTGCCAGTTCTGTTCCCCACTCTGGCTCTGGTGAATGCTCTCACCCTCCCGTGCTTCTGACTGTTCCCAGTGCTTGTATAAATAAATAAATAAATAAATAAATAAATCTTTTTTTAAAAAAAAAGAAAAAGAAAGGAAAGAAAAGAAATGCAGGAGATTAAAAGATTACTAGAGAAGATTAAAAAAAACTTGGGAAAACCAATGAAAACAGAATCAATGAAATGGAAGAACCGATCAGTACCATCAGATACAGAAATTAAAAAAGAGCCAAAAGAGAAAAAGAGAGAGAAGTGCAAAGGAAGAAGTATGAAGACATTCTTCGATAATCATCAGACTCCATGAAGAGAGGAAATGTAAGAGTTATAAGCATTCCAGA